TGGCGCTCTCGAAACACACCAGCAAATAGCCCAATACTATGGCCAAGTAATCTGCGCTGTGCAAACAAAAAGGCTGTGCATTGACTGGGATAGCCCGCCGAAGGCACGTGCACTGCGTTGTCGACAGCACCACAAATTAGAATCCGCTGAGTAGAAAACATCTTCCGAGAATACTATTCATTGGCTAGCATGGCGCCGCATGGAACACACGAACTGCGTGCGGTACTGCCAGACGCAAACATGCCTACAGTGGCGACGATCATACAGAGGTTGGCCCACGTTCACTAGCTGGCATGCCGACTAATGTATGCGCAAGGAGGGGAGTTTGGAAGGGTCGAGCTGTCGAGGGAAAAATTATGTGCTGGTACAAGTCTTTCTTTCAATTGCTGCTTACTGCCTAAATGTTCAGCCGGGACAAACACGCCACCAAACTCTATCAACCTGACAACAAGCTACGCCTTAAATTATCACGCTGGGACTATGCACAGTGCGAAGTAATGCATGGTTGTCAAACCCGGCTCTGCACTTCCCTCAGTCAATTTGGTAGGCTCGCTGCCGTGCAGCAGATTTAGGCAGACCCATCCAAGACCATCTCCTCTATCTCCCCAGACGCTCCAACTGCTAAACGCACACCAAGGCATCTAGCGCTTTTGCTGTACACTGCACAACGGATCCATGCCTGCTGGCCCAAGGGCTAGCTCTAGTAAGTATTTCCGGCGGTGGGCTTCGAAAATACCTGTCCTGGAGAGTGGTTTGCGGTATCCAACGGTAAATAGGATAACACCAATAAATGCACATGGCGCTTATAGTCATTTGGAAGGTTTCATGTGTTTGCGCAGGCACCACTACTTCCGTAAATACCACCATGCCTTCTGCCCTTCACCTCCTAGCACTTCCTAGCCGCCTGGTGCGCGTCTCACAAACCACGCTGCAACATAAGGTTGGCCAAAGTGTAGGAGGTACGACTTGGGGAGCAGCGAGACATTTGTAGAGCCGCCCCACAGCCAATTCGGCCGACTGTATGAGAAGGACCCTATGGGAAGCCATTGACAACCATTTACCTTGCACCTCCTCGCGTCCTATTGCAAGTGTATGCAGACGCTAACTCGTCACTCAGCCACCAGAATCAGCAAATCAGCAACGCGCCCAAAACCAACGATACGACGGCAAGTTTGGTCTCTGCCATACACGGTGAATGCCCAGCATCGAAGTGGTTCACTGAGCCGCCAAAGTGTCCACGTCAGTGGTATTGCAAACACGTCAGGTGTCTGCGAAGAAATGACACATTGGTTGGTTGACAGATAGGTGACGGTTCCATACTGCCTATGTATACAGGACAGGGAGGCAAAAGACAGAGGGCTCAATTCCCACGGATGCAGTGCAAAGACGTGCCGCTAGGGAATGCGAGGAAAGGAAACGGAGACACCGACGGCAAATTCATAGACCATGTCACTACGAAGCAGCTGGGCTGCTCCTGCTGCCTGACCCGAAGACTTGACGCCTTCGTAGGGCAGCTACCATTTCTCACGGTCACTGTGGTACGGCCCAGTTTGCCGTCTCGAGATTGGCACTAGGGCGCCTGAAACCATGCACCCAAGGACCCATTCAAACTCATTGGGCCATCTCAAAAATGCCCGAGTGTAGGATGTGCCAGTTAAAGCGTCAACACGTGTCGTTAGCAACGCAGGTTAGGTTGTCGCTCTTGACGAATATTCCGAAATCGTATTCAGATTCAACATTAAGAACACGGGGAAAACCTGGTCACCCGACATACAAGAGATGCGCTTTGGCTGGCCAGAGATTGAGCTGTCTGTACGGCTGTGTTGCTCACAACCTGTCAGATGGTGGATCACTCCTAGACTCTTGGATACGTTGGAACACCAATGCCACCAGCCGTATACGCATGTTATATGTAAGCTGCTACAAATGGCTATGCAGTGTCTGGTTTGCCACTTGGAAGCCACTGGGGCTGCGATCTAGGCAGCACGTCCAATTTACACTCAACGTCGTAGAATATATCTTCCGAGACTAATGTCGAACGGCTAGCATGCCGTCTCATGAAACACACGAGCTGCACCGAGAAATGCCAGGCGCCATTGTGGCGACGATGGTGCAAGGATTGGTGGGCTTCAGTTTCTGACACGCACGCTGGAATTTCTGGCGGCAGGGTGGCTACCGCAAGCTGAACAAGCCAGCGTGTATGCGAGGTTTAGGGTGTCGTACTCCCTTAACGCACAGTTGGCATACGGTCGCCAGAAAACTGCAACTGCTAGACGGTTATTCTTTCTCTGAACACCCTGGGGCTACGTTTTAGACGGTGTAATTCGTTTCTGAAAAACCCGGTTCAGCAGGTGCCGGTGGCACCCAGCTGTTGGCGCTTATACGAGCTGCCAAGCTGCTCTACTCGGCGTGCAGTTTACAGACATCGAGGCGGAACTAACCGCCGCAATGGAGGGGTTGCAGCATTAGACTGGAATCACTGGTCGCTGTGGTATTCGTTGGTTGTCTCTCACGTGTGAAACCATTCAAATATTTATGAGGTGTCGAATTGTCCGAAAGCTTTTGTTGAATGGTTGTAGCTGGTGAAAGTATTTTGTATGCGCATGGACTCGGTCCTGGTCTATGTGGACCTTAGTAGCGATTCCGTGTTGTTTAGGCTCATTATTGTATCTAAGTGTTTTTGACTTATGGACGTCGCAGAGCTGCCGTACTGCCTGAATGCATGCCCGCCGGAAAAGGCCGAAGGAAAGACTTGTTGGGTACGGCGTCTCCCCTTTCCCTTCATATGGTCATTTGCTTGGTAAACAGTACAGGTGTGGGAGGGTTTGTGAAGCGGATGCAGTACTGGTGCACGCAGGCTGTGTGCCTTTTGCTATGTGGCATTGGGCCTCCACGGCAGGACGTAAAAGTTCACTCACTGCCTGATTAAAGGGAAACCACGGACGTGCACGTCGAACGTAAACTTTCTGAAGTGCTTCCCTTCATCCCAGATAGTACACAAAACTGCTGCAGCGATTCAGTCTGGCAGTCCTAGGCCACTATACACATTTGCTATGCGTAACAGAAGATTTAGATGTATACTGAACACTGACGAAATCTTTTTGCCGGCCGCCCTATTCAACGACGTAGTTCCAACCAAAGGTGATGCAGCACAAAGTATTGTTTTTTCTCTAACCAAAATCGGAAAAACCTTAGCGCATGGTTGGCCGTCGTGCTGGGAATGCCCTGTTTGATTGGAACGTCCACCAGAAACACTTTAGGAACACCACCACACCGTGAGCGGAGTGTACCTTGGACACCCTAGTTGCTCGCAATCCGACCGGAGTATTGCTCACTCCCTAGTAAACGTTTTGACATGTACAGACCCCAGCAAAGCACTAAAATAAATGAAAAAGCAGTCTTTTCCTCCATACGCCATATCCGGAAGTCATTTCTACTCAGCCATTTCAACCAAAACAAACGCTCTGCTGCCTGGTCAGCTGGAACAAGAGCCGCACAAGCTGTTGGACGACCCCTCGTTATCCCACTGTCACCCAAACTACGCACACGACACTTCGCACACCAGACGTGAATCCTCAAAAAATGAAGGCATGCTGCACGGACGTTAACAATGCTTGTTTTTTTGCCGAATATGCATCACAACATGCTCAAGGACATAGATAACACACGAGCTACAATGACAAAATGAGGTGGGAGGAACGGGGAGTAGGTTCATTTAGCCTGTACTAGTTGAACGTTTGTACTGGCTTTCGCTGCTGACGCATTCAGTTGAAGCACTTAGTTGAGTTACTGCTGCGGAGCATCGGCAGGCGATATCTGCATATGCCTTCGCAGACAGGCAAAACGAGTACTATGCACCCTCGTACGATTTCGGGGTCCCTGCGAAACGTTGTGGATATGGCACATGCTGCACGTACGCATAACCAACTACTTTGCCTGGATACCCTACAGTTCCGCTTTTACCGTAGTTACAACAAAGGCAGCAAACTATATGCCGAATTGGCCTGAATCATGTATGTTGGTATGCAATACCTGATACCTGTTCCTGGGAGTAAGTTGATGATCGCAAGAGCCATTAATGGCAGGGGCATTTCAACACTTCATGGCGGAGCGACTGAAAATGTGTATTAGTTCAATGGCCTGTTTCAAAACGCAACATGCTTGTTAACTTTGGCTGGTTTGCTGTGCAATCCAGCGCGTTACTTACTCCCTGTGTATATGCACCCTAAATTCATAAGGAGAAACGATGAATGCAGCTACCGTCACCTAGGGTTTGTGGCCTTCTGCAAGGCCTCCATTGGTCGAAATACTCCAAATTGTTTAGACAAATTGTTTAGACGTTGGCTAAGCTGGGTAAAGCTTCAAAAGTTGGTCAAATATCGTTGGAGGTGCAGAAAAGCAAGTTAAGTCGTTTACAACGCGGAATTGAGCACACACATATTGAATAACCCACGGCCTGGAGGAACGTTTTGGCATATACGTGAAAACGCTCTTAGCGTATGTGAAGCACAGTTATATGGGAGCGCAACCGCCAGAAAGATAGGCACCCACAACGGGAACATCCACCTGTATCTATAAACTTTGATAGGCCTGTACATGGCACTGGATTTGGTTCAACTGTTGCAAAGCTTGCAGGTAGGTCAAGGCAGTAACTTGGAGTGTAGTAAACACATCTGCAGATAGGGCCAAAAGCAGCAGATATCGCGACGGGTAAGTGTTGCGACGCCAAGCGAAAAGTTCCCACTCGACATTTGAAGACACACTGCAGGCCGCCGGCTGTACACTCCAGTATCGAGCTGATTCATCAGACCACAGAGAAAGCTTTGTGAAAGAACAGAAACGAAATACGAACAGGTGGGCACACACCTGGGCAGCCCCTATATTAGCCCATGCTTGGCTGCAGGATGTACTACAAAGTTCATCGTTAAATGGAGTACCAAACACAGTTATTTTCCCACTATTGTTGGGATAATTAACAGATGACCTAGGGGAGTTGCCACCTACGCACCGGAAGCCTCAACAAGGTTTGCGGGGTGCCAACGGCCGGTGTCGTTCTCTAGCGTCTGCGCTTTAAGCACTTGGCATGTGCGCGTAGCCAAATACCACGCGATTACTGTTCTCTGCACGTTGTTCTGCGGATACGCGTCTGCTCCACCCCTTCCAAGAGCAGGGGGTCTTAGAAACGCGCGAACACGGCTCACGATAGCCACGCACATGAATTGCGCATCACAATACTTTTCATTCAACGCAGGCACCTTTGTAGGGAAAGTAGAGTCAAACGCCAGTTTGGCATATCCCGACATCCTGCTGTGCAAGTTCCATAAACAAGAAATAAAGGGTCAATCTTATTGAACCGCCTTTCGCGCCAGTACACCAATCATAGGAAATGCATAAACGAACGCACAACCTGAAGAGGTTGTGCCACCGGCAACAACGGTAACCCACTGATACACGCCAGCAAGTACTTTTTCTGGCAACGCACATTGGAGGGATGCACATGTAACGATGAAGTTCCCTCAAAATTCGAAGCATGCTGGATGCCTTAAAGCGCATCACCTGATTCTTGAGCTTTGCTGTGGGGAGTACAAAAACGCCTAAATCTTCGAGAACTGGCACATCGGGCTGGCTTTGTTAGTAGTGCAGGCTTCTACTTTGTACGCTAAATACCGAATCACTCACCAGCCGACTGGTTCGGCTAGGTGTGTTTAATCATAACAACGTCCAGCGACAGCAAAGGACAAAGTAACATTGAAAAGGAACGCAAGCCACCTGTATGCCGCGTTGCGCGTCTCTTCCCAGCTCACAGCCTGGAGTCGTTTCACGGTCATACAAACTGTCTTCGCATAGTTTTGAGGGACTATATATGTGCCAATAATCTTCTGTAAATGGATCCATTTACAACCGTGCGGGATAATATGCACGAGCAAGGTCAGGAATACTCAGGGATACACGACGCGCCCTCAATTCCAGCGTAAACCAATGGAGCGCAAAGCTCTTCCTTCGCAATCCCAGCATACTGCTGCACGCGAAATGTTTGTCACAATCAATACAAATGCCTGTAACTGGCATGGAGAAGATGTCTACGCTAGCTTGAAGATTACTCCTGTATCACCGCGGCTGCGGTGATAGGCGACGATGCAGCGCCCATCCGGTTCACCCGGTGTCACTGCATTGATATATTCAGCCGGCAGCCTTCAGGTTGTTCATACCCAGTTTTGTCGAAGGCAGATGCTTTGTCACCAGCGAACCGTATCGCTCAACAGTTTGCACACAAGCACATGTTGGGTTATTGTCGTAAGCAGTTTCGATTTCATCATTTAAGCACAGTCACATATTGGCACATCTTGGATTTGAGCACAGGTATACATTCTCATCTCTTGGATTTAACGTCGTGCGTTAAGTAGCCCTCACGAAGTGCGGATAGCAGAGGAAATGCACTACGCGTGGGAAGGTTGATAAGCAAAAGTGTGCTTAGGCGTCCGCACTGCCTAGTCTCGGTAGCACGGTGCCTGCTGACAGAAGCAACAAGAGTAAGCGCAGACTAACCCACTTTGTGAAACCCCCAGATGCATAATACTGTGTTTGGCAAAGCTCGTGCACCTACAGACGCAACGGTAATTTTTACAGCACAGAACAGCGAGCTGTTATGATATCGGGCGATACGAAAGGCAAACGCACTGCCTACGGTTATAGCGGCATGCCAGAGAGAAACATGATGCCTATAAGCGACGTCTACCTTCCCCACTCAAGGTGCTAGACCAGACTGACCGTGCAGACTTCCAATTGCGAGTTGGGGACGTACCATGGAGGATAGGCTCCGCAAAACGCAAATTCGCATTCAGCACAAACCAGATGTAGCTACAGGAGCACCAGTACACCACTACTAAATGCCTATGTCCGAGAACCAATTTGTGCGGCTTTGGAAAAGCACGATGTACAGAAAGGCAGCGTGTGACCTCTTGGTGAGCCATCTGGATTCGTTGTGCTGGTCAAACATCTGAGAGAGTGGCAACGCTGCAAACCAGTTTCACCGGCAGCAAAAGGCACATAAGGCTAAATGACGCGTGTGCCTGTAGGTGTGAACATTGGAAAAGGCTTGTTGGGTTGCTATGCCTTGTTAGACACAATAGCAGCCCATTTGCTGGAAGCCTCAAGCACACAATAGCGTACACTGAGTTTGTGGACTGTGACAAAACTTTGCTTTGGCCCCCTTCATACGTTAATGGGGAATATGGATAGGAACAGCCGAACTGTCAAACACATGCGGCTACACAGAACGAAACGTACAACCTGGGGTTTCGGGGGAAGCCTGAGAACAATATGGGAGACAGCAAATTAGCTAAAGCTTTGCATCATGCCTGGGAACGCACAGCAAGTGGTGCGGTTAGGTTTCTCACCTTCATTTTAGAAATTCCAAGAAGTCATAATAGTAATGCTTCCAAACTCTACTCGTTTTCTGCATGTATACTTCGCGTAATCTATATGGCGCCACCTAGACGCCGACTTGGAAACGCTGAAAGATATTGTGTATGTACAAAATGCCGACACCTCTCACATACCAGGGGATGCACTGTTGCTCCAGTAGCATGAGCCGCATTATAATGTGCATCAAACAATTGAGCATCCAAACGAATAATGTGCCTTTATCTTGGCTTACTCTCTGGAAAAAACGATGTAAGTATACACGGTTTATAGTAGATCCACTACACCTTCATGAACACGGACTTTAAACCATCATTAGCATGCCGAATAGAGGCGCCTTTCAAACTTGCAAAGGTATGTTGCGATTAATGCGTGAAGCCTGAAGACAGCACCGTGGAGCCATCCTGCTAATGACGGGGGAAGTGCGATAGCCGGAAAGCTTGAACCAAGCCGTTATTTAACTACTTAGTTACACTCATTGCTCACGCACAATTTTGCTGCTTTCCGCTCTCCGTTTGTTGTCGACTGGAGGTACAAACGCAATACGAATACAGACACGACCACTCTTTGCTCCACTGCAGTGCGTTCGTGCTGCTTTTGAGATGCACTTAATGTCTCGCCCATGCAAAACGCAGTGGCCGGTGAAAAGACTAGCACGAACTCAATCGGAAAGAAATTTGCAGTACCGTGGATAAATTTTAATGGACGCCGTTCATATTGAGCACATTGGTTGTACATCTCGAAGATGTGGGTTGTACCAAACATTCTTCTGGAAGACTATAAAGGCGTCAAACCATTAACGAACCCACCTTCTGCGTTTGGCGATCTCATGATGCCGCTTGGCATTGCATGCTGCAGGAAGCCTTCAACTGTCGCAACATTTTCTCCGGCATGCAAATCAGGAATTCAAAAGCCGTAGCAAGCAGGGCAACACATTCTGGAATGCAGTGGCCCTAACGATAAACCAAGCAGCCAAACTAATGAGCTCTGTCGTGGGCCTCCTCCTAACGGCCACCCTGTGGAACCGTCTTGCTGCACCCCACAAGCGCCTAGTGAAGACGGGATAGGAGACCGCAAAGAAATGGGGCAAACGTTTCACCAGGAGCGCAACGCACAGGCTGCGTTGAGACATCAGTCAAAGTTTGTAAAACGGAAGGCTCAGACGCACGATGGAAAAGGAGGCGAGATCGGATAAAAACCCCCGCCCAGCAGCCACAAAGGAGAACCCCAAAACGCCATTCAATAGCAAAAGCCACCAAATGCGACAACCACGATTGAAATGCTCTTTAAATAGGCAAAGTGTGCGTACGCATCAGACGTATCTCTTGTCGCGGCCGTTCACCACCTGCAGCACTATCATTACGCAGACGCTGGATTGTAAGATTGTGAGGTTGAACCACGCAGAGAGCTTGCCGCTCGGCCTGTAATCAAGTAGCGGTTTCGCTAGCAGACGCATACTCCCTGCATTGCATCAGAGCACTTTAGTACCAACGTGCAAAGCAACGGGCAGATCGCATCCATGACCGGCCTCCTCAAAAGCTTTCCCAGCCGCATACCAAGCAGCAGCAGCTATACGCCATATGCTTCCATCAGCTTCGGCCAATCCCAGACCCTTGCGGCCGCACCGTTGGGGACAATCTGTCGACAGGTTGTGGCTAAACTGCTCTACCAGTCACCACGTCGTGCTCCACTGCCGTTCACCCCATACAGACTGCGAGAGAATAATGCCTGCCACTATAGTTTCCAGCAATGTTCGCTGATACTCACAACATAGACACTGATATACTGAATGAGCAGCAAGTTCAACATTTCATCATTCCTGCCCATATACACTTGTCTTGAGATGCCAGGAGATTTGCAAGCCATCATGGGCGCGAGCTGTGCAACGCTCCAGAACACAACTTTCCAAGTGACCAAGCAACACTTCCAAACACTCGGATAGTCTAATAAGAGAATGCTTATGCCGCTGGTGTACTCTACAGAGGCGGTGCCACATGCGGTACCGCTTAGCACAACAACAGGTATTGGCCAGTCCTTGACCCCAGTTTCGTTGCCAGCTGCATGCAGCCACATCAGTGGAGTTACATGTGCCCCAGTGCCGGAGAAGGTTCCGTTGACCTGTTCATAGGTTTGTCAAGAAGAGAACTCATCAGGTGGCATAGTCGCAGTAGAAACGCTATTCTTCTCACGAGACAGTTTGGCTAAAACACAAATTAGGCGCTCACTCTTCAAAACTGCAAGGCGGGCGAAACGCAGCCACCGACGGCTCACCGACAGCTCAGCCTTGGTATACAAGCTCAATATCCATTCAGGAAGACAGAATCTGAGCGACACTACACCCACAAGCCTCCTTTCGTGGATAGCGTGTTGGAGCATGGAAATAGACAGGCAAGGCAATTTGCAAATCAAGTAGATTGAACTGTAGGTAGCGTCGCTAGGTATTGGGCCAGCCTGAGCAGACCGGCCTCCTCATGCAAAAAAAGCACACCTCAATTGCGCCAAATTGCTCAGACGTGTTGGGCGTAAATTTAGTTTTCTTTTTATGCAGTACCAAGTTCATACAGTGGATAGGAGTTCTGGCCTATGTAGCCCATATGCAGTTCTTCACAATATTCATCTATTCACACCGATACAAACTAAAACTAAGGTTCGTCAGCAAACGAAGTTGTCGAGAATCCACAGTGCATCTGGTGTGCATTTCGCATAAATTTTGGAGTACACCCATCCCGTGCAATCCCGTACGAGCTGTAATCCATAGCAGCACTCCCAATACAGATGGAGTCTCCTCAAAAGCTTTCCCAGCCGCATACCAAGCAGCAGCAGCTATACGCCATATGCTTCCATCAGCTACGGCCAGTGCCAGCCCTTAGGGTCCGCACCA